TAGTAGTAGTAGTAGTAGTAGTAGTCGTCGTAATAGTCGTCGCCGTCGTAGTCGTAGTCGTAGTCGTAGTCGTAGCCGTAGTCGTCGTAGTAGTCGTAGTAATCGTAGTAGTAGTCGCAGTCGTGGTAATTCTAGTAGTAGTAGTAGTAGTAGTAGTAGTAGTAGTAGTAGTAGTAGTAATAAGGAGTAGTAGTAGGAGTAGGAGTAGTAATAGTAGATCTAGTACTAGTAGTAGTAGTAGTAGTAGTAGTAGTAGTAGTAGTAGTAGTAGCAGTAGTAGTAGTAGAAATAGTAGTGGTGGTAGTAGTAGTAGTAGTAGTAGTAGTGGTAGTGGTAGTGGTAGTGGTCGTGGTAGCAGTTGTCGTAGTCGTAGTAGTATCAGTAGTAGTAGTCGTAGCCGTAGTAGGCGTAGTAGTCGTAGTCGTAGAAGAAGAAGTAGTAGGAGTAGTAGTATTAGTAGTAGTAGTAGCAGGAGTAGTAGTAGTAGTAGTAGTAGTAGTAGTAGTAGTAGTAGTAGTAGTAGTAGTAGTAGTAGTATAGTATTGTATAGATTGTAGCATTGCAGTAGTAGTAGAGTAGTAGTAGGTAGTAGTAGTAGTAGTAGTAGTAGTAGTAGTAGTAGTAGTGGTAGTAGTAGTAAGTATAGTACTAGTAGTTATTCTAGTATTGTAGCAGTAGTAGTAGTAGTAACGTATTTGTATTATTACTGAGTAGTAGTATGAGTCGTAGTAGTAATAGTAGTAGTAGTAGGTAGAGTAGTGGGTAGTAGTAGTAATAGTAGTAGTAGCACTAGTAGTACTAGTACTAGTAGTCGGAGTACTAGTAGTAGTAGTAGTAGTAGTAGTAGTAGTAGTAGTAGTAGTAGTAGTAGCAGTAGCAATAGTCGTGATGCTAGTTCTAGTAGTAGCCATAGTAATAGTAGTAGTAGTAGTAGTAGTAGTAGTAGTAGTAGTAGTAGTAGTAGTAGTAGTAGTAGTAGTAATAGTAGTAATAGTAGTAGTAGTAGTAACAGTCGTAGTAGTAGTAATAGTAGTAGTCGTAGTAGTAGTAGTAGTCGTAGTAGTAGTAGTAACAGTAGTATAAGTAGTAGTAGTTATAGTCGCCTTCGTCGTTCGAGTACTGGTCTTAGTAGGAGTAGGAGTAGTAGCAGTAGCAGTAGCAGTAGTAGCAGTAGTAGCAGTAGCAGTAGTAGTAGTAGTAGTAGTAGTAGTAGTAGTAGCAGTACTAGTAGTAGTAGTAGTAGAAGTAGTAATAGTAGGAGTAATAGTAGCAATAGTAGTGGTAGTAGTAGTGGTAGATGTAGTAGTAGTAGGAGTAGGGGTAGGAGTAGGAGTAGGAGTAGGAGTAGGAGTAGGAGTCAAGCTAGCCAGCTCGAGCGAGTCAAGCATGGCATGCCCAGTCCCACCCGCCCTCCCACAACATAAGAAGCAAAGCTGGCACAACTGGGGGCCGAAGTCACACCGGCCAGCCGGTTTGGTACAGCTGATGCGGCCGCGATGGCGGTTGCCGACGGGAACTGGCGAGCGCGTGTTGAATGCCGCGCACGCATTGCCAGACGAGTCGAGAATGGCCCGGTACACCGCAGGAAGCCAGAGGTGGCCGGAGGAAGCCCGACGGTCTGACAGGACACCCCAAAGCATTTTTGTGAAAAAGCATTGGGTTTTTTGATGTTTTTATGTTGAAATGCTTGCAAACACACGGTGTTCGGTAGGATTCTGACATGAACGCGCGAGTGTGCTCTTTGTGGTATTTTTTGCACAGGATTCGCGGCCTGGGTGCATGACAGAGCATCGCGAGTGCACCGCGCGATGACGTGAAATCGTTGGATTTGACAGAATTCTTAAGATTCCTATGGTTTTCCTATGATTTCAGCAAGAGAGCCCGGGCGGGAAATTTGTAGAATTTTTGTGCAAAAGCATTGGGTTTTTGATGTTTTTATGTTGAAATGCTTGCAAAAAACACGGTGTTCGGTAGGATTATGACATGAACGCGCGCGTGTGCTCTTTGTGGGATTTTTTGCAATGGTTTATCGCCGTGGACGACAGGACGTCCATGTCAAGAGGATAAAATAAGAAACATGTTAATTTTGTATTGTTTTTTTACAGGATAGGATGGGACCACCCGGATGCGCCCGCTATCTGCCGGCCTGAGGGGGGAGTAGGAGTATATTTTAATAAGGAATAAGGATAGGAGTAGTAGTCGTAGTAGTAGTAGTAGTAGTAGTAGTAGTAGTAGTAGTAGTAGTAGTAGTAGTAGTAGCAGTAGTAGCAGTAGTAGTAGTAGTAGTAGTAGTAAGTAGTAGTAGTAGTAGTAATCGTAAGTCAGTCTAGTATAGTAGTAGTAGTAGTAGTGTAGTATTAGGTAGTAAGTAGTAGTCGTAGTCGTGGTAGTAATAGTAAGTAGTAGTAGTACGAGTAAGTCGTAGTAGTAGTAGTAGTGTGTAGTATAGTAGTAGTAGTAGTAGAAGTAGTAGTCAGTAGTAGTATCTAGGATAAGGACTAGGAACTAGACTAGACTAGTACTAGTACTAGTACTAATACTAGTACTAGTAACTCTAGTACTAGGTAGTATAGTAGTAGTAGTAGTATAGTACTAAATAAGTAGTAGTAGTAGATAGTAGTAGTAAGTAGATAGTAGTAGTAGTAGTCGTAGTAGTAGTAGAAGTAGTAGTAGTAGTAGTAGTCGTAAGTGGTAGTAGTAGCGTAGTCGTAGCGTCGTAGTCGTCTAGTAGTAGTCGTCTAATACTAGTGCTAGTAGTAGTCGTAGTAGTAGTCGTAGTAGTAGTCGTAGTAGTAGTAGTAGTAGTAGCAGTAGTAGCAGAAGTAGTGGTAGTAGTAGTAGTAGTCGTCGTCGTCGTAGTAGTAGTAGTAGTAGTAGTGATAGTGGTAGTAGTAGTAGTAGCAGTAGTCGTAATAATTGTAGGAGGAGTAGGAGTAGGAGTAGGAGTAGGAGTAGAAGTAGTAGTCGTCGTCGTAGCAGTAGTAGTGGTAGTAGCCATCGTAAGCGTAGTGGTAGTAGTAGTAGTAGTAGTAGTAGTAGTAGTAGTATTAGTAGTAGTAGTAGTAGTAGTAGTAGTAGTAGTACGAGTACTAGTACTAGTACTAGTACTAGTTTAGTATTACTACTACTACTACTACTACTACTACTACTACTACTACTACTACTAGTACTCGTACTAGTACTAGTACTAGTAGTAGTAGTAGTAGTAGTAGTAGTAGTAGTAGTAGTCGTCGTAATAGCCGTCGTCGTCGTTAAGTCGTAGTATAGTAGTAGTAGTAGTAGTAGTAGTATGTAGTAGTAGTAAGTAGTAGTAGTAGTAGTAGTAATAGTAGTTCTAGTACTAGTAGTAGTAGTAGTAGTACTATATTAGTAGTAGTAGTAGTAGTAGTAGTATAGTAGTAGTAGTAGTAGTAGTAGTAGTAGTAGTGTAGTAAAGTAGTAGTAGAAGTAGTAGTGGTAGTAGTAGTAGTCGTAGTGGTAGTAGTAATAGTAGTAGTAGTAGTAGTGGTAGTGGTAGTGGTCGTGGTAGCAGTTGTCGCAGTCGTAGTAGTATCAGTAGTAGTAGTCGTAGCCGTAGTAGACGTAGCAGTCGTAGTCGTAGTCGTAGTAGTAGCAGTAGTAGTAGTAGTAGTAGTAGTAGTAGTAATAGCAGGAGTAGTAGTAGTAGTAGTAGTAGTAGTAGTAGTAGTAGTAGTAGTAGTAGTAGTAGTAGTAGTAATATAGTATTGTAGTATTGTAGTCTTGCAGTAGTAGCCGTAGTAGTAGTGATAGTAGTATTAGTATTAGTATTGTAGTATTGTAGTATTGTAGCAGCAGTAGTAGTAGTAGTAGTAGTAGTAGTAGTAGTATGAGTAGTAGTAGTAGTAATAGTAGTAGTAGCACTAGTAGTACTAGTACTAGTAGTCGGAGTACTAGTAGTAGTAGTAGTAGTAGCAGTAGCAGTAGTAGTGATGCTAGTACTAGTAGTAGCCGTAGTAGTAGTAGTAGTAGTAGTAGTAGTAGTAGTAGTAGTAGTTATAGCCGCCTTTGTCGTTCGAGTACTGGTCTTAGTAGGAGTAGGAGTAGTAGTAGTAGCAGTAGCAGTAGTAGCAGTAGTAGCAGTAGTAGTAGTAGTAGTAGTAGTAGCAGTACTGGTAGTAGTAGTAGTAGTAGTAGAAGTAGTAATAGTAGGAGTGACAATAGCAATAGTAGTGGTAGTAGTAGTGGTAGATGTAGTAGTAGTAGTAGTAGTAGTAGTAGTAGTAGTAGTAGTAGTAGTAGTAGTAGTAGTAGTAGTAGTAGTAGTAGTAGTGGTATTAGTAGTAGTCGTCGTCGTAGTAGTCGTAGTAGTAGTAGGCGCCGTAGTAGTAGTAGTAGTAGTAGTAGTAGTAGTAGTAGTAGTAGTAGTAGTAGTAGTAGTAGTAGTAGTAGTAGTAGCCGTCGTAGAAGTAGTAGTAGAAGTAGAAGTAGACGTAGTAGCAGTAGAAATTGTAGTAGTAGTCGTAGTAGTTGTAGCCATACAGGTACTAGTAGTCAGAGAAGTAGTAGTAGTACCAGTAGTAGTAGTAGTAGTAGTAGTAGTAGTAGTAGTAGTAGTAGTAGTAGTAGCAGCAGAAGTCGTAGTAAGTGTAACAATATTAGTAGTACTAGTAGTGGTAATAGGTCTAGTACTAATAGTAGTACTAGCAGTCATAGCAGTAGTAGTACTAGTAGTCGTAGTAGTAGCAGTCGTAGCCGTAGTCGTAGTCGCATGTTTAGTCGTAGTAGCAGTAGTTGTAGTAGTCGTAGTCGTAGTAGTCGTAGTAATCGTAGTAGTCGCCGTAGTAGTAGTAGTAGTAGTAGTAGTAGTAGTAGTAGTAGTAGTAGTATTCCGATTGGTAGTGGTAGTGGTAGTGGTAGTGGTAGTGGTAGTGGTAGTGGTAGTGGTAGTGGTAGTGGTAGTGGTAGTGGTAGTGGTAGTGGTAGTGGTAGTGGTAGTGGTAGTAGTCGCCGTAGTAGTAGCAGCAGCAAGGGTATGATCCAGATGATGTCGCAAGAAGGGAGAGTCCGATGACATCGATCGTATGACAAATGGCTTCAGGACATCGATGCGCATTGCTCAGGTTCAGCTTCGTAGTTGGCTTGGTTTCCATCGGAGATGGTCACAGTCATCGTTATTTTGATCCAAATCAGTACGAGTAGTACTTATAAACATAGGGCTAAGGTCAGCACGGCTGTACTTCCAGTCGGAAGAATAGTCCGATTCATAAGATTATTGCAGGTGGGGGAAGGATAAGGGCAGAGGGGGATGGAAGAGGAAGAAGATGAGGAATGCTGCTGCTGCTGATGCTGTTGTTGATGATGATGATGCTGATGATGTGAATGGTGATGGTGATGGTTATGTTGATGCTGGTGCTGGTGGTGGTGACGATGAGGAAGATGCGGCTGCAGATGATGATGGCCATGATGATAATGATGGTGATGATTAAGATCAGGATGAGGATGAGGATGAGGAGGGGGATGATGATGATGAGGATGATGATGATGGTGATGGTGATGATGATGATGATGATGATGATGATGATGATGATGATGGCCTTGGTGATGGTGATGATAATGGTGATGATGCTAGTGATGATGATGATGCTGATACTTAAGATGCTGGTGATGCTGCTGGTGGTGATGATGATGCGAATTCTTCTTATTTCTGGTATGATTATGATGATGATGGTGGTGATGATGATGAGGAGGATGAGGAGGAGGCGGAGGAGGAGGAGGAGGGAGAGGAGGAGGAGGAGAAGGAGGAGGAGGATGGTGGTGGTGGTGATGATGATGGGGATCATGGCGAGGAAGAGGAGGGGGAGGAGGAGGGGGAGGGGGAGAAGGAGGAGGAAGAGGAGAAGGAGGCGGGGGAGGAGGAGGAGGAGGAAGGAAGCGGATAACGACGACAAGGACGAGGATGATAATGAGAAGGAAGATAGAGCAGCAGGACTGAGGACGAGGAGGAGGAATTGGAGGAGGTGGAGGAGGGAGGACGAAGAGGAGCAGGGATGACGAGGGGAGGACGACGAGGAGGTGAAGCAGGAGGAGAAGAGGAGCGAGGCCTCCCCCCACTCGCTGGCAGGAGCGGCTGGTGACACAGGACGCGTACATGCTTTTCTACGCCCTGGACGGCGCCCGAGCCCGAGGAGCGACGGGAACGGCCGCGCGGCCGAGCTCGCCAGCGTCCCCGCGCGGCCGCCTCGCGGCCTTGCGCGGCAGTCGGCGGCGACTACCGCGACGACCGCGACGACCACGACCGCGACCACGACCACCGGCATTGTGTCCTGCCCGTCTTTCTCGCGCGGATGCCCCAGGAGCTGTCAAGACGCGCTGATGCCCTGCGTGCGCTTGCGTCCACGGCGGCGACGGCGGTGGCGGCGACGACGGCGGCGGCGGCGGCGAAGAGGAGGGGGAGGAGGAGGCTTTTTTGCTGTCAGGTCTTCTGCCCTTTGGGGCCTGCGGGGGCCTCCAGAGGCCTCCAGGGGCACCTGGGAACCGCGGAGGACTTCTGGACGACGACGGCGGCGGCGGCGGCAGCGACGGCGGGGCTCGGATCTGCACGTCCCCCTGCCCGTCCTGGAGCCAGGCAGGAAGAGATTGCGCCATCGCAGCTCGAGAGCCCCGGCGAGCCCCCAGCGATCCGCCGCCAGGTCTCTTCGGCACCCCTGGCGGTGATATGGGGCGTTCCAAAAAAGGCCTCGCCTTCGAGGACGGACGGAGTTGTCGTATCTTCCGCGGCGGAAGGTCGACGGAAGTAAAACGAGGCCGCCTCCGCCGGCGGAAGGTTGACGGAAGGCGGCGGAAGTAAAAAGTCGACCTCCCAAGAGATGCACAGGTTTGGGGAGCTCAGGGTTCTCGGATTCGGGCATCTGGTTCGTGGCTAGGCTCGTGGGGTCTCGACGCGCCAGCGAGGCCTGCGCGGGCGCCCGAGGCTGAGGAGCCTTCCGAGAAGCCTTCCGGGCCCTCTCCGCAGCCACGGGCGGCCTCTCTCTCAGACGGCGGGGAGGCGGCCGAGGAGCCCGGCCGCCCTCTGCGTTCGTCCCTGGGCGCGCCGCCGAGGGAAGGGAGACCGCCACGAGCGACGAACACGTCCACGATATGTCCATGCGGCTGGGTTCGCGCGGCGCCACGAGCTGATGAAGGGGTTTCGCGTCGGGGACCGCGTGAACTCGGTGCGGGGGCCCGGCGAGCGCCCCGACGACCCGCAGCGCCCCGAGCGCATGGCGGCGGGCAGCACTGGCGAGGAGCGGCAGCGCTTCGGCGTGGAGGTTCGCGTGGTGTCGGCTCGCCGCGACCCCACCGCGGGCGCTCCAGGTTTTCAGCGCCGCCCGTGGGCCAGAAGCGGCCCGTCGTGGCACGACCCGCCCTCAGTGGCAGGGCCGATGGTTCAAGCTTGAACGATCCCCGCGGTGTCGGGAAACGCCGCCAGGGTCGACACCGCGCGAACCTGCCGTATCCGTGCCCTCGCGCTCTGGGCACTGGCGCGATCCCGTGGACCCATGGGCACGTTCTGCGTGGAGTATCGTCGAAAGGCCGCCCTGTGTCCATGGGGTCGCGGCCGAGGAATCCAGAACGTGAGGCCGTGAGCATGGATGCCTGTCTCGCCCACGAGATCGTCCAAGACTGAAGGAGTCACGCGATGTTAGCAACCAAAGTCGACGTCGTCACGGCAGGAAATCGTTGTATCTGGGGCGAGTGGGCGCTTTAACAAGTTATAGATGTATTCCCCATGCACGTTTGCATGTATGTCTCTGCGATCTTGATTCCGTGAGCCTCGGGCGGGTCTGGGCACACAGCCATGTCACCGAATGTCATGATGGCGATGCGGACGCAGAGCTCGGTCTTGGACCTCGATCAGCCTTCTCCTTTTGCCTGGCAGTGCCCCGAGCTCCCTGGGGTTTCCAGCTGTCCGTTTTCGGGCGGCTGTCCTTGCGTGGGCTCTTGCAGCCATCCCAGGGGCAAAAGCTACCAGACACCGTGCTGTTCGTTGAGCCCAGCTTGTCAAGCAGTGCGAGTAAGCCTCGATCAGATTGTTGGGCCAGCAAGGGGATTGGCATTGACAGGGGCAGCGACAGAGGCAGCCAGGAACATGAGGTACAGAACTTCCGAGGACAGATTCCAAAGAAAGGTAGCCCTCGGTCTGATATTCTACACAACGTTCACCCACGGTTCAATACTCTGGAATAGGAGATGTGACTTGCTTGCCGCCGGAGAATATCAGATTCGGTGCGCAATGCTTCTTGGATGCCGCCGTAGAATATCATATTCGGTGTGCAATGCTTCTTGGATGCCGCACCTTGCTGGGTTTACTCATCCCATGAGACCCAGGCCCATTATTCCAGATGATGGGTGGCCAGATCGTTATTTCCCAAAGACTCTGGACCTTGGTTGGTCACTCGCGAGGAATACTGGATCGCGTGAATGCCTCTTGGGGAGGGGTCGGGTCGGATCTGCCCTCGAGATGACTGGCCTTGGTTCGTGAATTGGGAATACTGGGTCGCATTTCGATGTTCTATATGATTGTCTTCCCCTGCAGCCCGGCGTTCCGTAAGAATGAACCTCGAGTAAGTGTTCCGGCACAGAGAGCCTCGGCTCACCTTGCCGGATTCATAGCGTTGATGATGAGGCCGTCGGGGGGCTCACCGATCGACCCGCCATGCAAGATTCAGCAGGTCCACACTCAGAGATGACACATTGAGGCTAAGTGTTTCCTACTCCTTCTCATCCTCGATCCTCGATCCTCTTCCTCCTCCTCCTCCTCCTCCTCCTCCTCCTCCTCCTCCTCCTCCTCCTCCTCCCCTGTCTCCTCCTCCTTCTCCTGCTCCTCCTCCTCGTCCTCCTCCTCCTTCTCCTCCTCCTCCTCCCTCCTCCTCCTCCTCCTCCTCCTCCTCCTCCTCCTCCTCCTCCACCATGGTCGATGAGGACTTCAGAGGAGCCTTCGGAGTCGCACAGCACCTCTTGGCACCTTCTGTGCGCGCAGCGTTCCAGCGAGGCGGCGGCACAGGGCTTGCCGCGCAGCACATGTAAGCGAGCGCGCGCGCGCGAGCGAGCAGGCGTTCGATTCAGCGCACGGAGCCGAGGTTAGGCGAGCAGGCGAGGATGCTGATATAGCGCGCGGGCGAGGCACGTCAGCAGCTAGATTTCAATCGGGCACGTCCCTCTGCAGGAGGGATGCACGCAAACCGTCAAGAAATAGTACGGGGACGATGTTTGGACTGTTTTTGGCTATGTTTGAGCATCGTTTGACTACTTCTTATGTTTCGGCAAAGCTCCGCCTGTAGGAGGACATGGCCGACCTAGTGCTAGATTGTCGTGCCTAGCATCTGCAGGCCGGGTGTGGCTCGGCAGGAGGTCAGGAGAGTCCTGAGCATGGGCGCCTGGTCCACCCGCCATGGCCAGCTCTCGGAGATCCCGACGAGCAGCCCGTCCTGGTCGACAGGTTGCCCCCTCGTGAGGTCTCTGGCCTTTCTGCTCGCCCTCCTCCTCCTCCTCCTCCTCCTCCTCCTCCTCCTCCTCCTCCTCCTCCTACTCCTACTCCTACTCCTACTCCTACTCCTACTCCTACTCCTACTCCTCCTCCTCCTCCTCCTCCTCCTCCTCCTCCTCCTCCTCCTCCTCCTCCTCCTCCTCCTCCTCCTCCTCCTTTCCTCATCCTCCTGCTGCTCCTCCTCCTCGTCATCATCATCATCTCTCTTCCCCCGGCTGGGGGGAGGGAAGGAGCAGACGCAGACGCTGCTCTGGCGCCTGACTCCCCGGGCGCAAGTGAGGGTGTGGATGTTGCGCTGGAGTCGGCCAAAAAGAGGGCGAAAAACAGGCGCCCATCCCCCACCCCTGGGCGGTCGCGGAGCTGGGGCGCTGGCGTCGGCGCCAGATGCGGCGCGAGCATGCTCCGCGGATGGAAGGGCGCTTCGCCTGGCGCCGACCCTCATCCGAGCTACGTGATCAGTTGGGCTGCATGTATAAATTAGGTTCTGGCCTCGGGACAGCGGTCAGTTACCCTGCTGTATGGCCCCATCCGTTCCATCCTGTAGAAGACCGTGCATCATCAGCCTCCCCCCCCTCCTCACAGGAGATCTGCAGGGGATTTTGGAAGTCCCCAGCGGCCCATAAAAACCCAACGCGTCCACAAATCTCGATCCTCGAACCTCCTCGCTCCTCCTTCCTCCTGACTCCTTGGTCCTGTTCCAGAAGCTTCGCGTAGCCCCACCAGCCCATCCAGACACCATGCCCAGACGAGTTGCCCTGATCAGGGATGCGGAGGAGCATGCAGTGGAAAACAGGGTTTGGTAAGACGTTCTAGCCCAAGAGGGGAAGGATGGAGGATGACTCGGATGAGCGAGAGGAGGAGAGAGAGGAGGAGGAGAAGGAGGAGGAGGAGGAAGGAAGGGAGATGAGGAGGAGGAGGAGGAGGAGGAGGAGCAGCAGCAGCAGGAGGAGGAGGAGGAGGAGGAGCTGGAGGGCGAACAAAAGGCCACAGGCCTTTCGATGCCTCTCGAAATCTCTTTATATGTCATTCGAGAGTTTCTTAGAGCTCTCTTGGGGCGTCTTGGAGGTCTCTTGGCAGTCCCGGGGGCCTCTTGGGCGTCTTGGCTGCCTTTCGGGGGCCTCTTGGGGTTCTCTTGGGAGCCTCGTGGAGGCAGCCCCAGAGGCCCCCCAAAGGGACCGACAACGGTCCAAGATGTCCCAGATCCCAGAGACGGCCCCGTAGCCATTTGGGCTCAAGCCGCTTTCCTCAGCTTCTCGTCCACGGAGCCGCGGCTACGCCGCGGCGCCGGGCCCAGTGCCGACACGGGGTTTGCGTGTTGATGCCGCCCGCCAGGGAAGCCAAGGCGGCGCTGCTGAGGTTCTTTTACACGGCCGACGTGTCGGGCGACGGCCTCGTGCCAGGGAGCGAAGTGCGTCGGCTGGTCTTGGCTGCCGGCGCGCGGGCAGGCGCTACTCCTTCTCGGTGAAGTGCGCTTCGCTGGGGGCAGCGCGGCGGACTTTGCATGCCTCGCTGCGCAGCGGCGCGCGCAGCTCCCCAAAGCGCTGGAGTAATCGGCGCCTTCCAGGGCGCCCGCGGATGCGCGGGGCGCCTGTTGTCCGCTTGTAAAAGAAAGCGTCGGCTGGTCTTGGACGCCTTTGGCACCCTGTCATCCGACGATACCGCAGATCACTTCACCGCCGCTGCAATCAGCGATTTCAGCATGCCGTGTGGACAGAGGGTGCGGTATCGTGAGGTCGGGGACTGGCTGATCCCAGAGGTGGAATGCGCGAGCGTGCCGCCAGGGCTGACGGATGCGCTGGGGCGGGCGCGCAAGCTGCACGCGGAGCGCGCTGCCTCCGCTGCCGAGGCGGCGGGGTGTGCCGACGGCGCGGGCGAGTCCAGCGCAGGCCTTGAGCGCTGAAGCATGCGCGAGTGGCTCTCGGGGAAGGCCCGCTGGCCGCTGGCGGAGGCATTGGCCGCCCCGCTGACCGAGGCCGAGCGCGGCCAGCTGGAGTTCTCGCTCGTCCGGGCGCTCGGCCACCCGGAGCTCGAGCGCGCCGGCTCGGCGAGGGAGGTCGCCATGAGTTTGCCGCGCAGCGGCGGCGTCCTCGAGAAGCTCGTCGACGTGATCCCTGGGATGGCGGAGGAGCTCACTTGGGCGCAGGCCGCCACGGCTGGCGAGATGAACAGTAAGTTCGCTGGCGAGCCAGGCTCGTTCTGCTTCTCCCACGGCACCCGGAGTGACTTCTTCGGGGGGGTGGAGGACCTCATTGGCTCGCCCGATCCGAGGGTGGAGAGAGCGATGATGCGCGAGCATTGCAATGCGGAGGACTCCGCTGTCGAGTGGAAGATTCAGAATTACGGCGCGACAACCACGCCGGAGAAAGAGTGGCACTTCATGGCAAAGCAAAACGAGACCCTCGGATAGCCTGGCATCGCATGACGCGTTTCAGTCAGGATCGAGGACCCTCGGATCCGTTCTGGGGGGCCACGGCGGCAATTCGAGCCCGCGCCCTGAGGCGGGCGACGCGCGCTCCAAGTGGAAGTGGCCCGAGGAGACGGCCACGCAGCGCCTCTGCCAGCGGGGGGGCATCGGCGATTTCAAGGAGGTGTTCGAGGGGATCAATGCGAAATTGAGGGGCAAGGGTGAACGGCCGCTGGGTGCCCGAGTGGATCGGAGGCCGCCTTCGCACTGGTTCCATGTTCGAGACGTACAACGCCGTGAACCGCGGGTTTGCCCTCGAGGCGGGCAGGCAGAGCGCGTCAAGAAGTTCCACGATCTCTGCCGCGGGAACCGATGCTGCACGACGATCCACACGATCAATTCGGCGCCGGTCAAGCTCAGCAAGCTCGAGAAAGCTGGCAAGCTCTACCTGGGCACTCAGCTTGGCGTCTTGCCCGCTTGCTTCTGGAACGAGGACGAGACTGGCGTCGTATGGGGGCATCGAGCACAGGTTCCTGAGCTGTTCGAAGGCCGAGGCTGTTGCCCAGCAGTACGCGCAGGGTGGCGACGCCCAGGCCGCCGCCATCTTCGAAATCCAGACTGGCATGATCGACCGTGGCGCGGACCTGGCCCCCATCTCTCAGCGCCCGCGCGGGGAAGAAATCTGTTGCCCCCTGCCCGCATGCGCGGAGGTGGTCGGCTCGCGGACCCAGGGGGGCATCCCGTGCATCCAGGCACGCCTCAATGTGAATTTCTCTGCGCTGACGATCGACCAGGTCATCGACAAGCGCAAGAGGCTCGTGACAGACATGTGCAAGGGCCTGGTGTCCGAGGTCAGCACTGCAGTGGCCAGGTACCAGTGGGCGACCGTCGGCCAGTATTCCGCGTTGGAGGCGGGCGCCGCCTCGAGGGCCGTCCGTGACCTGGCACGCGGGAAAATCAGGAGCGCGACAGAAGACGGCGGCTGAACATTTCAACGACGACGAGAAGCTGCTCAACTCTATCCGCACGGCGCTGGAGATAACCGACTCCGTCAAGTTGATGGCGAGCAGCGTTCTCCGAGAGGCAGCTGAACACTTGAAGCGCGCCGGCCTCGCGGCCGCGGCGGCCCGCGCAGAACGACGCGCCGCGGGGGGCAGCATCGTCGAATCCAAGGAGCTGGCACCGATCACACTGAAGCGGGGGGGTGCGAAGAGACTCGGGCTGACGCAGGGCAGCGATCGCTTGCGCATCGTCGACGCTGAAATTGCGCGAGGTTACTGGGGTCATACGGGTGCAGGGGCCGCATGAGCTCTCCAAGCTCCGGCCTGCGCAGCAAGGGCACATGCTC